TAGCGGGGCCCCTGTGGGGCTGTGTGCTAAGCCCCTAGCCCACGGCCTGCCCTCTGTGGGCCTGCGGATGCCTCTTGCCAGTTGTTCTTTATACTGCTGCCTTTGGTGACCCAGAAGTGGAATTACATATCAAAATCCGCAAAACATGTAGAAAGTTAAGAACATAATTTGTGAAGCCAGACTATCAGCCGGAAAAATTATTAGCCGCAGATCCCTGACGCTCTGACCTGCTTCATATCCAGAAGACTTCCCTTCAGCTCAGAGTTTATCCAAGGTGTCTGCGCTCGGGTTATCCCTGGATCCTCTCAGCACCATTTGAACTTTGACGGGAAAATAGGACACTTATTATTATTAAATATCGTAGTATTTCTTTCCAAAAATTTTTTTCATTTTTAATTTTTTTGAGGTAAAATATATATAACATAAAATTTGCCATTTTAACCCTTTTCGACTGTGCAATTCAGTGGCATTAATACATTCACATTATTGTGCAACCATTGCACCATCCATCCGCAGAACTCTGTCATCTTCTGAAACTGAAACTCTGTCCCCATCAAACACTGACCCCCCAGACCTCCTTCCCGAGCCTTGGGCAACCGCTGTTCTCCTTTCTTTCTCTGATTCTGACTATTCTAGGCACCTCGTGTAGGTGGAATCATCCAATATTGGTCCTCTTTTGCATTTCTTTTAAGAAGACCCTAGAGCTTTTTTATTACTTATAAGCGATTTCTGAGCAGGCCAGCATAGTGGTGACAGGTCTGAGGGTCGGGAGAGGCTGTGTGTCCCTGCGGGAGGTCCCGGGGCTAACCCAGCCATGGCTGCCCTGTGGTGACCGGCTTTTGCAGCTGCTGGCCCTGTGGCTTTGTCCAGGTGGTTCCTGTCTAGACACCATGGCTGAGTCTGTATGGTTTCTTTGGTCCTCCCTGGTTCAGATGTTTGTATTTGGCCAAAATCTGATAGGATTTTTATACTTTTTTTTTTTTTTTAAAGCAGTGCATACATGTAAAATTCTCTCTCCCACTTCAACCCCCAGCTCTTTCCCAGTGGGAAGCTGAGGTTACCCATTTCTTGAGTATCTTTCCAGAGACGATATTCAATCCATGTGAGTTATGTGTGTGTGTGTGTGTGTGTGTGTGTGTGTGCAGGCCCCAGTATGGTGTGTTATTACTCACAGTTGTGATTAAATCAATACCCAGGGTTCACATTTTTTTCAGCTACGTAAGTACTGTTTTCAGCTGAATCATGTACTGGCCTGTAATTACATTTTACTTCTTTATAGCTTTTTTATTTTCTTGAATTTACTAGTTTTCTTGCTTGTCAGTTTGCTTAATTTTCTAAGGATCAATCACTCATTCTTCCCTAAACTCTATTGGAAAATATGCACCTCGTCTCAAAATGACAGAGTGGTCAGGACAGGTTTTTTCCTTGGAGAGGCCAGTCCTGGAGCCCTCTCCTGCTGCCGTCCGGGCAGGCGGCCCTCCAGGTCTGGGGTCCAGCGGAGCCATCTTTGCCCTCATTGTGGGTACCCTCACTCCTCCTGATTTCTAGCTCCTGCTTCCTGGAGCCCAGGCCCCCCTCTTCTTGGCCTTCACCCGCTCCCTTTGGCATAGAGCCCACCGTCCCATGGCTTCCTGAGACTTGCATGTCTGAAAATGCCATTTTTTTCCTACCCTCACCTGGAGGTTGTTTGGCCGGATACAGAATTTGAAAGGAAAATAATTTCTGTTGTCATTTTGAAGTCGTTATTCTATTTCCTTTTCACTCCCGGATTTGTTCTTGAGAACTGTGGTGCTGTCCTGAGTCACTCGTTAATGACCTGGAAGCTTTTGGGATCCTCACGTTATCTTGGAGTTGTGACATCCCCAGAGAAGCCCCTTGGTGGGACTTTTCTCTCCCACTGTGCTGCCCACCTAGGAGGCCGTGTGGGAAAGATCCACATCTCCAGTTTGGGGGCCTTTTCTTGAATTATGCCACCCCTCCCCTTTCGGTGTTCTTTCTGGAACTCCTCTAACTCAGTTGTTGGAACCTAGATTGCAGCTCTGAGCTCAGAGCCTTTCCTGCTGGGCGGGGACAACTACTCCTCTCGTCTCCAGCCCCACCCCACCCCACGCTGCCTTCACATGAGAGCCTTTACTTGGATGTGTAGAAAGCAACAAGTAGAATTATTTGTGAAAAACCTTTCCTGTACTATAGGTACGATGGATCTGGACTTACTAATTAATGTAGTCACATAGTCCTTCTCACCCAACAATTGTTAAACTCTTCCTGACTTGAATGATTAAAGGTAAAGTTTTGATCATTTTTCTTTTGTGTTCTCTTTTCCTTCTCCTGGCCTGAATTTTCCCTGCTGGTTGGCTTAAGGTACTCCTGGACTTGTTTGTGTAGTCTGATTTCTGCAGCCACAAAATGTGCTGCTAAACTGTGATTTGTGCCTGGTGGTCTCTCGGGTTCCCTGGGGCCTCTGCACAGGTGCACTTTGCATTCTGGGCTGGGTGCAGCCCCCTTGGCTCCCTTTCTGGGGCTATGCCTGCATCCCTCTCTGGCTTTCACTTTCTCGCTGGTCCTGTCTTCCTAAGGCATGTGACAAATCTGTTGCAACTGTGGGGTCCCAGGCCCTGAGCCAGAGCCCGGTCTTCAAAGTACAGGTGTCCTCAGCCTGTCAGATCTCATCACCCACTCTGTCGAGCCCCTGGGCCTTGCTTCAAGAAAATGACGCCTCTTCTATGTTGAACTTGTGCAATATGTGGAAAGGACCCCCTCTTCAGTAGCTGTGACCTGGATTTTCCTTAGAACTGCAAAGAAGGTTAGACTGGTCAGCTGTACAGAATATTCAGGAGCTGCTGAAAGCCAGGGTGCACCGTTCAGCCGCTAGTCCTGACCTACGACAGGCAGGGCACCATTCTAGATACATGCTTCTCTCCCCGTTTCTTCAGCTGCTTCCTGTCACCCTGACATTCAGGGAGATTGTCAGGGAAAGGTGAGCTAGCCTCTTGTTTGGAGATATTTGTCCTGTGAGGTCTCTTTCTGTCTTCTCCTAGTGACCTGTAGACATTGTGACATTTGCCTCCTGCCCTAAAGCATGGAGAGATCCGGCCTTTCCTTGACCCCTGGGTCCTCCCCAAGCCCAACATTCATTCCCCAGGTGCATTCCAGAATTATATCACTCCTACGCAGGAATGAGGGGAGAGGGGGAGTCGGAGTCTTCCAAGTCAGTGGGGCACTGCTCAGATTGGCACATCAGGAAATGCAGGTGACAGTCACACTGCTGAGTCCTGGGCATAATAAGGAGGTGATATTAACCCAAGCAGCGCTGGTCCCCCTAGTTCTGATTGACACCAATCTTGGCATGTATTTTAGTTACTCTGTTTATCATAGGCTAACAGGCATCTGCAAAATGGTATAGCTGGGGGCAAGTTGTATTTAAAATGTTCAGTGTTTGGTCCGAAAACTGTGTGTTCAACCGAAGGGAACTGTGGCTCCTCGAGGGCTGGGAGCTCTCACTGCCGTGTGCTGGCTCTCGATGCTAACTGCAGCGCGCCAACCGCGCCAACCGCTGGCAGCTGCCCTCGGGCCAGGATGCAGCCCCTCTGACCTTGCTAGCTTCCTGGTCTCTTAAACCTTGCATCTCAGACCTTTACAGGTTGAGGGATGGGTTTTATTTTGCTTTGGTATAAATAAGTTGTATCAGGCGAGCCGGCTGCTGGGAAGGAAGGTCACCCCTCCATGTTTTTCTTCTTCTTTTTCCTCTGGTCATGGTCCTCTTCGCTGTGTCTGATGAGCACAGAAAAAATAAGTGCCTTTGGGCCAATAAAGGCATTCTCTGTTGAAGAGCATCTGTGAGCATTGCAAAGTGCAGGTTGCACATTTGTTGCATAACTTTCTGTTTGTAAAGAGGTCGGAAAGGTGAAAAGCAAGATTCACAGCCTCTTACAGCCAAGGCCCTGGGTTTATCTCAGATGTTTTTTAACATGCAGTGTTCAAACTGTAATATAAGAAAAACAAAAGAAAGATGATTTGTAATAAAATAATGTGAATGTGAACTTGTAAATGCTGGGCATGACCACACCGGGAGAGAGAATAAAGTACACAGGGGAACCTGGCATGGCCCCACGCACGTGGCAGCTGCAGAGGGAACAGGGCTGTCAGTGATTCATTTTCCAAGTGATGACCGAGTCACCGCAAAGTCCCAAACAGGATGAAGGGATCGTGGCCCTCCATTGTTACGGTCCCGGGAAATGAGGTGGATATGAAAACCAGGCAAAATACTTTGTTTGTATGTAAAGTGGAATTGAATTCAAGTCTCAGAAGGTCACTTGGGATATGGAACAGTTGCCTCTGGCCCCTAAAAGCCGTGGTGTCCCCTAGTTATTGTGACTATCCAAAGCAACCCTACAGATTTGCAAAATGCCTTGATGGGGCGGTACCTGGATATTGAGAACCCTGCTGGAGAATCTACCATAGAAGTCAGGACAAGTGACGGCGTATGCCTTAGTCAGGGTTCTTTAGAGAAGCAAAACCAATGGAGTGTGTGTGTGTATAAAGAGAGAGTAAGAGAAATTTATTTTAAGAAATTGGCTAATGTAATTGTGAGTGCTGGCAAATCTGAAATCTTCAGGATGTCAGCTGGAGACCAGGCAAGAGTTCGTATTGCGGTCTTGGATCCCAAGGCAGTTTGGAGGCAGAATTCCGTCTTCCTTGGAGGACCTCAGCCTTTGCCCATAAGGCCTTCAAATGACTGTATGAGGCCCACCCCTATTATGGAGGGTAATCTGCTTTGCTCAGAGTCTGCTGAATTAAATGTTATTCACATCTGAAAAATACCTTCACAGAAACATCTAGAGTAATGTTTGACCAAATACCTGGGTACCATGACCTAGCCATGTTGACGCATAAGATTAACCGTCACAGCATGTGACAAGGACATTAAAGAACGTTCTGTTCCTATAGTAGAAACTCAAAGGGTAGTCACTGTAAATCTCTTTATGTGTCTTTCTCTGAAGCATATCCAGTGTGCAGCGTTCAGACAATGGGTCGTATATCTGTAAGATGAAAATAAACAATGAAGAGATTGTGTCTGACCCCATCTACGTCGAGGTGCAAGGTAAGTCCAGGGCCTGCACAGTGTCCAGTTGCCCCGGGGCTGTTTGTTTTAGATCCTGTATTATGTGCTTTATGGATAATCCTCTAGAGTTTGGCATGCCCGTTTATAATTCTGTATGCAAACCTTGCAGATCCACGAGCACTGAAATTTGACAAGGCGATCTTCTTTTTAGACTTTAGGTAATAATGAATTGAATTCAATTCTTAAAGTTTGAGCTCTATCCTGGGCACTAGGGCTGAGATACAAAAAGGATTATGAACTTCCTTCTCTTCAGGTTATTTACGTTTAAAAAAAGCTGAAATCTTTCATTTTAGGAAGCAAAATGCATTCTATGATCCAGGTTTCAGTGCTGGCACCAGATACCACTCACCTGGGCAAGTGGCTACTTGCTTATTGGTCAGCATCTTTTCCCGTCTTGCGTGTGTGAAATCAGGGAGGGTGAGTGGTTTTCCTGAGTGAGTCGAGGCTCGGGCTGGGACTCCTTTTAGGCCCTGGGATTTGTCGGGCGCGTGGTTCAGTGCAGTTCCATGACGTGATGTGAGATGGGCTTGGTGGGGGCTGAGAAGGGAGACATCAGTCAAGGGGAAGGCAGGCTTTGCCCTCGAGGAATTTGAACGCTAGGGGGGAGTGTGAGCTGATGCCCAGGTGAGCCAGGCCAGGTGAGCCCAGGTCCTGGGTCTCAGGGTTGGCATGCCTGGTTCTGCAGTGGCAGGGTCTGTGAAGAACGGCTTCAAGGAGGAAGCCCCTTTATTACCACCCCACGTGGTTGCTCCCCACCAGCCTGGGGCTGCCCTCCAGGCCTCCTGCGTTTCTGAGGTGCCCCTATCAGCAGAGCCATCAGACCCACTTCTTTTCTGCTTTCTCCTGACCCTCTCATCTGGGTCTTTAGACCAGGTCGTTAGCTTTTTAGGGACGTTCAACCAGAAGCATCTCCCACTAAAAGGCTCCTCTGTGACCCATTCTTTTGCAAACCTGAACCTGATCCCCCCAAATACTACAGGACGGTGCATGGTTCCTCCCTCGGAGGAATCTCTTTCAGAGCTTTGTTCTAGGCCCATCCCAAGCTGGACAGCCAGGGCCTCAGGGTTGTGTCAGCATCAGCCAGAAGGGGCATGGTGGTCCCTACATTTGCTGCTAATCTGGGAAAAATATTTAAAGGACATTTTACTTGTCAGAATCCAAAAAAAATGCCCAGAGGAACACATTAGGTCCAAATGGAGTTTTCGAACTTTGATATAGGAAAAAAAAAGTGTCCCATTTTACCTGTCCCACATCATTCCTGCTGGGACCAGATCTGTGAGTTCCTAATCCCAAAAGAACACAATTTAAAAGCCTGAGGACAGTTAGCTTAAATTTTTGGCACATGCCCCAAATAAGTACCAACTGGCTTTCTCTGAGATGCTCCTAAAGTCCCCTTCCTTATGACCCTGATTCTGGAATTCCAGTAGGAGATCTTAGGATTGTTACTGTGGCTACACTGTTTCCATGAGAATGTGCTTTAAAAAGCGTTCAGCCCTGTACGAGTGTACAGATTTGAACATTTGTGATCACTCATCTGAAACTCACACACAATAGATTGTCCTCCAAAACGCGCAGACCTATTACATGGCTTGGTTTTTACTCTGTGTTTATTTTGGTAAGGAATACTGAAAACCTGCCAACCTGCCCCAGGAGTGTGAGCCACTCCTGATTTCAGAATTGCCAGGCCTCCCTTCTGGTAGAACCAGTTCTGAATCACCATTACAACCCCTACGGGAAAGTATCCTAGAAAGCCGGCTAGAGCTAGACACGTAGGAATGAGCCTCTGTCCCTTCTTACCCAAATTTCGGGAGATGGAGGCTGGCCGTTTCAGACCTGGGGTGGTAGGGAAAGAAATGTGTTGCCAAGTTCCAGTGCAATTTCTGTTCCCCGTGCTCTGCCTTTCCTTGTGGATCTGAAACATTCTTTCACTTAACTCTCTTTCTGCAGGACTTCCTCACTTTACCAGGCAGCCTGAGAGCATGAATGTCACCAGAAACACAGCCTTCAACCTCACCTGTCAGGCCGTGGGCCCGCCTGAGCCTGTCACCATATTCTGGATTCAGAACAGCAGCCGTGTTAACGAAGGGCCTGAAAAATCCCCCTCCGTTCTGACTGTTCCTGGTAAGTCCGAGCTGTGTGGTTCATTGGTCATGTTCTCTCTAAGAGGGGAAGGGATCAAAATTTGGTGACCACTGCTGTGTACCAGCAACGAGCAGTGGAGGAGGATGAAAACACAGCTGTGGCAGCTGAGGTTAGGGGCCGGGTGGCTGGGAAGGCAGGTAGGAATCTGAGGGGTGAACGTTCACAGGCCAGGGCTGGGAAGTGGGTGAGTGCCCTGAAGGTGTCTGTGGTTAGGCTGAAGTGGCCAGAATCCCCGAGCCCAGGCAGTGGGAGGCCCGCTCACATCTCCCGTTGCAGCTGTGGCCTTGCTGGCCTGGCAGGTCCTGCACTTCAGGGACCACTGATGTGAAGGCCTCCGTGAGATTTGACAGCAAGGAAAATGCATTGGTCACGGGGCTGTTGTGGGAAGATTGAGTCATTGTGGGATTGTGGCTGCATTGACAGTCAGCGTTCATCTTGGTTTCCATCTGAACGGGAGTGTCCAGCTTCATTCCCATCACTGCTGAGTGCTCTTAGAGTCAATGCCATGGATGTTGCCCGTGCTGCTAAAACCAACGGGCTCTTCTTTGGCGCCTCTCATTGCATCTTTCAGCAATATCTGCCCTAATCCTTCCTTTCTTCGTGCATTCAGCAAATGTTCTGTGAGGGACTGCTCTGTGCCAGAGGCCGTTCCAGGCACTGAGATCACAGTGATGAACTTCTGGAGACACTGTCTTCCTGGCTTTCTTCCCACCTCGCTGCTCCTCCTCTGCCCCTGCGGGAGTTCTGAATTTGGGGCGTCCTAGCGCTCAGTCCTGGGCCCACTTCTGTTCCCTCTGAGACACTCCTTCCTGGGAGAGTTCCTCTCAGCCCCTGGCTTCAGTACCATCTGTGCGATGATGACCTCGAACTTTGTGTCTCCACCAGACCTCTCTCCTGAGCTTCAGGCTCCTGTATCCAGCTGCCTTCTTGGCATTGCCACTTACTGGGTATGTAGGCGTCTTAAAATGAAATTCTTGATTTTCCCCCCAGACTTGTTCTGCCCCAGAATTCCCCATCTTAGTAAATGATGTCACCATTTGCCCATCCTTCCTCCTTCTCCTTTTCCACATTGAATGTGTCAGCAGTTCTGTCAGTTCTGCTTCTTCAGTGTATCTGGAGTCTGTCTTTTCTCCGTCTCTGCTGCACTGCCCTGGTCCGTGTTGCTGCCAGCTCTTGCCAACACTGCTGCTGTAGCTTCCTAACTGATCCCTTTGCCTCCAGCCTTGTCCCCACTCTAATCCACCCACCTCAGTGGCAGATCACACATCATCCACCTGCTGGAAACCCTTCTGTGACTTCCCATTGTCTTAGACTGTCATTCAGAGTCCTTCTTGTCCCTGCCCCTAGGCCCTGTATGCTCTGGTCCCTGCCCAGTTCTCTCGCTGAACCCCAGCCCACTCTCTCCTCCCTGCTTATTAAGCACAGTCACACTGATTATCTTTCTTTTCTTCAGACACGTTGCCCTCCTTCCTGCCTCAGGACCTTTGCACTCTCTCTTCTGTCTGCCTATAATGTTCTTCCATCTGCCCTTCGTCCCATGACACAACTCAAATATCACTTTTTCAAAGAGGCCTTCCCTGGTCACTCTTAACGATTTTAGTTAAGATACCCCAGTATTGACTCCCCTTTATTGACTCACAATCACATATTCTTGTGGACTTCCTTCATTGCACTCATCGCAGTCTGTAAGTACCCTGTTTATTTTTCCAGTCTCCTCGTCTGTCTTTCTAGAGAACATATCCTCAGAAGGACAAGGACTTTGTCTCCCCTGAGGCAGTGCCTGACTCATGGTAATACTCACTGAATACTTAGGGCAAGATTGGGTCAGCAAGTGACTGCTAGCCCCTGGGTCTTGTCTCTGAATCACTTTTCTAACGCCTGACTCCATGAGGAACATTACGGTTTTCTCTGCCTCTATCTGAGTTTTCTTTGAGTTTCTCCAAGGAGTTGATAAGCAAGTGACTTCTTTGCTCAAAATCAATTTTAAAAATACATTCACCCTTTCTAGCATGGTTGCTAGGAAGTCCCGTAAAGAAAGATTTTTTTCGTGGAGGTAAAATCGACATACAGTTAGATGCATAGAACTTAAGTGCACAACTCAGTGAGTTTTGATAAATGTAGACACCCATGGAACCACCTCTTCAGTCAAGATATAGAACATTGCCGTCACCTCAGAAGTTCCCTCGTGCTCCCTTCTGGTCAGTGCCCACCTCCCCCAGGGAACCTTGTTCTGACGTCCATCATCATAAATTAGTTTTGCCAGTTCTTGAACTTTAAATAAGTGGAATCATAAGTATGTATTCTTTTGTGTCAGGCTTCTTTCCCTCCACGCGGTGTTTTTGGGATTCATCCACACTATGGTATCAGCAGTGTAATTTTTATTGTTGATAGTACTCTGTGGTATGCATCGCTGTATTTTGTTTATCTGTTTGGTGAACATTTGGGTTGTTTCTGGCTATTGGCTATCAGAAATAAAGGAGCTCTGAATATTTGTGTGTAAGTCTTTCGGAGGACATATGTTTTTACTTTGTCTTGAATAAATAGCTGGGAGGGAACTGCTGGGTTGTGTTACAGATGTATGTTTAACTTCTAAAGACACCACCGAACTGTTTGCCAAAGATGTTGCCTCGAGTTACATTCCCAGTGGCAGTGGGCGAGAGTTCCAGTTGTTCTGTCCACAACCTTGCCAACATTTGATATGGTTAATGGTTTTTACAAATTTAGACGTTCTAGTGAAATGGTAAATTATTGTGGTTTTAATTTGCATTTCGTTTCCCTGTCTAATTTTAGATTAGATTTAGAAAGGATTTGTTTTAGCATCTTTTCTTGTGCTTCTTGACTAATCATATATCCTTTTTGGTGAAGTGTCACTTCAGGCCTTTTGCCTGTTTCCGCATAAATCTTAGAATCAGCTTGACAGTTTTTACAGAAAAGTCTGCTATGATTTTATTTGCAATTGTATTGAATTTATACATCAGTTTAGGGGGAGTTGACATCTTAATAATATCAAGACTTCCAATCCATGAACACACTCTCTTCGTTTATTTAGGTCATCTTTAATTTCTCTCAGCAATTTTTTATAGTTTTTGATGTAGAGGTCGTACCTGTCATTTGTTAAATTTGTTTTTAAATATTTTATGTTTTTGATGCTGGTAAGTAGCATCTTTTGTTTCATTTTCCGATTGTTTACTATTAGTATATAGAAAATACATGGACTTTTGTATGTTGATGTTACATCCTACAACCTTGCTAAATAAATTTACTTATTAATTCTAAGAGGTTTTTTTTGTAGATTCCTTGGGTTTTCTATCTAGACAATAATGTCACGTGCAAATAAAGATAGTTTTACTTCTGCCTTTCCAACCTTGTCCTTTTATCTCTGTTAGTTTCCTTATTTCACCGGCCAGCACCTTGAGCGCAATGCTGAATAAAAGTGGGAAGCATGGACATCTCTGTTCCCGATCATCAAGTATGATGTTTGTTAACTGTGGGATTTTTGTAGGTGCCCTTGGTTAGATTGAAGAAGTTTCCTCTTAGTCCCAGTTAGCTGAAAAGTTTATTTTTTATCATTATGGGTGTCAAATTTTGTTGAATTTCTTCTCTGCATCTCCTGAGATAATCATATGGTTTTTCTCCATTATTCTTTTAATATGTTAAATTACATTGATTTGATTGTCAAATGTTAAACCAATGTTGCGTTATTGGGAAAAACTCTACTTGGTCATGATGTAGTATAGTGGATTCAATTTGCTAATATTTAGTTAAAGATTTTTGTATTTATATTTATTCTGTTTCACCCCAAAATTGGGTAACCCCAACTGCATGTACTGCAATTCAATTCTGATACAAACTGTGGGGAGTTCGTGCAGATCCCGTAGGTTAAGGACAAAGCCTGCCACAAGACGGCACTCACTTCGGGTGCCAGCTACAAGTCTTGGGGGGTCCTCAGGCCGCCTGCACTTCTTACTGACTGGCTATAAATTTGGAGGTTCGCATGACCCCCTCCAGTTTGATAATTTGCTAAAACAACTTGCAGACCTCAGGAAAGTGCTATACTTAGGATTATAGTTTTGTTACAAAGGATACACATAGGGTGAGGGCTGGGAGGATCCCGGATGCAGAGCTTCCATGGCCTCTCGTGGAATTAGGGTGGCACATCACTTAGGGTGGCACCCTCCTGGCACATCAAAGTATTCACTGAACAGGAAACTGCTGAGCTTTGGGGTCCAGAGGTTTTATTGGAGTTTCATTACATAGATACAATTGATTAATCATTGGCCACGTGATTGAACACAACCTCTAGACCTCCTGCCCGTCCCTACAGGTTGGGAGGATGGGCTAGTATCATGAGTCTCAAAGCCCCAACCGTCTCATCACGTGGTTGGTCATTCTGGTGACCAGTCCCCGTCTTGAAGTTATCTAGGGGCCCATGAGTCACCTTGTTAGCATAATACATCCACTTGAATCCCTCAGGAAACTGCAAGGGACAAAAGCCAAATTCTTTATTATACAACAATGTTCATGTGGGAAATTGATTTGTAATTTTATTATCTCAGTTTTTGGTAACAGGCTATTGTTGATCTCATAAAACTACTTGGAAAGTGTTCCCACCTCCTCTGTTTTCTGCCAAGAGTTTAGTCATTTTGGTGTTATTTTGAAAAGACATGCATAAAATTCAGTGGAGGCTGTAACCTCTTGTGTTTTGGACACTTCATTTCTGCTAATGCAGTTTGCATTACCTTTTTGATGAAGGTTAATGTATTGGTTAATGCTGAGTTTGAAGTTAACTGAAATTCCCGGGTCTTTTTTTCTCATTAATTGCTGCAGAGTCAAAGCTGTCCTCCTCCTTGTATGTATATTGAATTGTTTTTGAAATCTCAGCCTAGCGTTTGACATTTATGCTTAACAAAATTTTATCCATTGTCCCAGCCTACCGAGGCCATTTTGAACCTTGATTCTCTCATTGGATTAGCAAATCA